CCGCATACTAGCCCGACTCCAAACGGTCCCCCCGCTCCTAGCTCCGTAAAGCTAATCAATAATCGGTTGAAGGCCTGCGGGATTAGCCAAAAATCCTAAAGTCAACGCCTAACACGCCGTTCGCCGGCAGTAGCTCTATTCCGTGAGAAAGACGAAGCCTACGTATTCAATATCCGTAGCCACTGAGAGCGTTAACTCTCTTAGCACGACGTCATATGGGAACGGCATTTTAAGATAATCCGCCCATACTAGCCCGACTCAAACGTAGTCGGTAAAGGCTAATTCAAATCCCGCTGCACGGCTGCAGGAATTTCCAAACAATAACTCATATAACTGGAGTCATTGAAACGCATCAACTCCCCCAGTTGGTCTCGTGAACTCGAGCACCCGACAACATTTCGGGACAAAAACTCAACACAGCAGATGAGATCCAACTTTTAACAAGTTGGGTCCCTGCCAACCCCACACATTCCGGATCCGAGCAGTGCATCCCAATACCTTAAAGGCTTAAACTGGCTATACTCCGCAAACGTACCACGAGTATTAAAACCTGCTTTTTATGGCGATCCCGTCTAAACCCGTAGGTCAACGTCTTCGTCAACGCGTAACCCTTTAGCCCGTCACGCCCACTCAACGCGTATGCAACCAAATGTCCAACGTTCGAAAACGATTCGAAACCCGTAGGCCCGTGGACGCCGGTCAACGGCGTAACATTAGGTCAACGCCAGTCAACGCGTTCGCAACCCAAAGTCAGACGTTCGACGATTCGAAACCCTAGGTGTGGACGCGGTCAACGCCTAACCTTAGCGTCAACTCCACGATCAACGCGCGTTGCAATCCAAAGTCAACGTTCGACGATTCGAAACCCTAGGGTGGACGCGATCAACGCGTAACCCTCTTAGTGTCAACGCGTTGCGACAAAAAAAGCTCGGCGGCCCAACACACGGGATCGAAACCCTAAGCCAGCACAACTGTGGCGGAGGTAAGTTAAAGTCAACTCAATGATCTACGAGCAAACTCAATCCGTATCAGCTGCAGACCGAGCGACATCCCGACACGGCAGACGATAACGCAGCCGCCGCGAAGAACCTCGGCTATTCAGCTCAAACATCGTCGATAGATCAGAAAATTGAAAGATGTCAAGAGTTGAAGCTAACTACGCCGGCGACTGACGAGCCAGATCAATCACATCCAAAGTATTCCAGCCTCATCTATAATACAAAGAAACGAAGCAGGAACACTTTGGAGGGATATCTGTAGCCATCAAAATTCCATATAGCTTCTCACAACCGGTTCAGTTGTTAACGAGCGACGAATGAACGCTCACCATCCAATCCACATGAGCCTAATCGACGTCGACGAACGCACTTTGAAGTGAAATCGACGAGTACATGAGCGGATAGGCTTCGGAAATCACGAAGACCCGCGACAATCTGTGGAAGCCCGGCCACTGTTCACAAAAAGGACAACGCCCTTCACGCCTCACCCTCTACAGATAATCAATCACCAGAGCGGATGTCAAACTCTTCGTCGGCAATCCAACGCAACCCGGAATCACTCAAATCCAATCGGCACGAAGAATCTTACGCGGCGAAACAAACAAAAATACAACCTAAACGGAGTCCCGGACCAGACTCGAAATACCCCGCGTGGTGTCTAGGAAAAGCCTAGAACCCCAGGCGCGGTGCTCTCGGCCATGCCGAGACACCCTAGGGTGTCTCGGCCTGTGGCCGAGACACCAGGGGGTCTCGGCCCATGGCCGTCGAGACACCCCAAGTGTCTCGGCCATTGGGACCGCAGACACCCTGTAGCGTGTCTTCGGCCAAGGCGAGACACCAGGAGGGTGGTCCGCACCCCGCCTAGGACCCCCCTAGACCCTCTACACACCTATAATACCCTCCCCCTTGGTGCTGATTTTGGAAGCGAGAATTATTGGAGAGCTCTGGCGAAGCCCTTCGCTGCAGCTGAAGAGTGCCCGTTGCTTCAAACAAGAGGACGAGAGGCCTTGAATCAGAGCCTTCATCGCCGTCAGCAGATCCTTAGTATCGGCCTTAGCCAGTTGATACTAAGAAGAGCTATTACCTTCACTTTAGCCCGAGGTATACGCTTATAGCTTCTAGATCTCCGCGGATCATGACGAGCTCTGCTTCTATTATCCCCCTGCGGATAGCACGAAAGCCGTGTCGATTTATCCGGACCAGACTCTGAGTGCCCCGGTGGTCCACGAATCAACATCCCCGTCACAGGCAAAAAAGCACCACCAAGCAAGAGATGAGCAAACAGACTCTTGCGTTTTGTTTTGAGAGGAATCTGATTTACTTTTTCTCTTTCATGCTGTCACCGCGTCTTTACTAAAAAGACTATCTTTGTTTTTTCATTGTAACAGATCAAAGTGGTAATGAAGGCCCAGCCAATGAATATACAGGCGCAACTGTTCTTCCCGCAAAGCACTCGGTACCAAGCAAAATTTTGTGCTGGTAGTGAGCCGCTGTTCGTTCCTATTCACTTCTTAACCTATAGTGAATGCGACCTCCATTTGAATAAGCGGATGGAATGTGTCACCTCACTTATTTAAGCACAAAAACTAGTGTTTGATACCATTTCCTCCCATATTTCTTCATATATAATATATATATATATATATTATATATATATAATATATATATATAGAGAGAGAGATGAGAGAGAGAGAAAATGGGTACTGGCTTGGTACGTGAAGTGTCACATTGCCCTCCACTCATTGCAACATGCAGGGTCACACTACACATGCGCTTGAGAAGTTGCTGGAGGAATGACAATGACTGTGGATGAGAAGTGTGACACTGCTAAGTACAAGCACCAAATTTGTGCTTTCGTACAAGCATACCCATTTCTTCATATATATACTACTATCATATATATATATATATATATATATAATATATATATATATATCCATACTATATTACAATTCGTATATGCCAAAATCCAAATATATGTTTCTAGTAACTAATTTATCCTTGACAATCGCAAGTCCTCACTACATAAAAATGCTAATATTTTCTCGTGTCTCATCTTAACAGGTTTTGGTCCATCATCCTGTGGATGTGGCATGGTGTCACTATCCTTTTCCTCGACGAGAACAATCCCAAGTCTCTGGCTCACTGGGATCTTGAGCTCATAAATGACATTCTGGATTGCAACCATGTCAGCAAGATCACTATCTTCTATTGCCAGTAAATCATTTGATAAACATAGATCCAGAGTAACATAAGATCAGGCAGTTTTGAATTTAAAACTGGGATATGGTGAATAACAATAGTTAAATACATAACGAAAGTTGAAAACAACAAACCGCTTAAATACACAAGCTATAGTGTCCCTGGTTGTCAATAGTCTCTTCCTCCTTTAACCAAGACTTATTTTATACTTAAAAGTATTAATTCCATCAAATCTCATAAACTTTACTATTGTGTTTGAAACCTTCAACACGTCATAGGCAAAGTTGCTCTAAGCTACATTAAAACAACAACAAGAAAGACACATCTAGCATCTCCAGTATGTAAACCCAAAAGATACAAGACTAACAAGGAAGCAGGTAAAACATAAGGGTTTCAAACTGTAATGGAACTCCATCAAGATCATTATCAACAACTCTGCAACATGAAGAAACATTCTTATAGTTTTCCTCTTTTTTTTAACAGAAAGAGAAGTGAAATTGTTGGAAATACTTTCGTGAGAAGAACAAGAGCTGAAGTTACATTACATTGTTGCAGCATGGTAATAAATGGCTGTTCTGGGAATGACTGTAAAGATCCTATATGAAATGTGCTTTATTTTTTATTCTCTCCTACATTGTTTTATTTGTAATCTATTGAAGTTTAAACCTTATGAATTATAGAATAGAGAATATTATCATAAATAGTGAGTATCAAATCTGTTTTCAAAGGAAATAGGCTTATAGAGCTATAGAACCACAACTTCAGCCTCTCTTGTAAAACTACTATACGCATACTTAAATATAGAAAACTTCCAAGAACTGTCCCAAGTTCTTTTACAATTCTTCTCCATTTTCACTCAAAACCAGGATAACATGTTGGCCATTGGTTCACAAACTAACTCAATTTTGTCAGTAACAGGGGGCAGAAACAGACGTTATCGAAAAGTTTTAGAGAAAGTTCATACCGCTTGGCACTTTTTGACAATAGAGTAATTTTTTTGGCAAATGATAAAAAAGTTGCAGCTAAATTACCAGATTGGTATATTTTGTTGACTCTAAGTACTTACTTGGTATATTTTCTTACTTCGGCGACGCTAAGGTCTATATAATGGAACATGGTCAACGACCTATTTTTTGGCCGGAGCAAAATTTCCAGTGACTAAACATCAGATGCATCTTATGTGGCTTAATTGGGCTTATGTGGCCAAGGATAAGCATGATATTTACCTAACCGTTCTTTAAAAAATCCCAAAATTTCCCCCCCTTCTCTTTCACCTCTATTATCTCTCCATGTGAGGGAGAGAATGATTCTTCCCCAAATTACAGAGATTGCTTAACCTAATTTCAATTTCCCTAACCTAATTTTAATCCTAGGAGGAAAAAGAAAACCCAATTTGATCCATGCCCTTTTGAGCACTAATTTGAGGGGAAAAAGGAAAAAAAAACTTTTCAGCTCAAAAGAATGAGCCCAAACTACCTACCACTCTGGCCAAAAAATAGGCCTTGTTGTCAGTCGTGTTCCACTTAATATACTTTATCATCGCCGGAGTATGAAAATACCAAGTTGGTACTTAGGGTCAACAAAATATACCGATCTGATAACTTACACAAAAGTTTCTGTTAGTTTCTAAGAATTGATCCAAGAAAAGATAATGAAATAAGAGAGGATAAGAAAATATATTTTTCAATAATATAAGAAAATGCTATATTACTTCAAATCTTTAAGTGAGTTTACTATATCAGCACAGCAGATAATAAGACCAAAGGGGGAAATGGTCTTATTATGATTAAAGAAACTCACTCTGCAGAAAATTTGAGAAGGTCGATAAAAAATTGCTTGATATCACCTAACAATTCAGGAATGGCATCAGCTGCCACATATACAACTTTACCACTTACCTGCGGAGCTAAAAACCTGTCAGTATGCTGATGGAGCTAATCGGAAAGAAGAAAATAACGGAATGCAGTAAAACATACAGTGATTATGTGTGACAGCACAGTATACTCAAGCTCTTTCCTGTAAGCATTCAATAACAATAACAAGGATGATAATGTCTGCTTGCAAGCCATGCACAACGCAAATGAATCATCTAAAAGACCTGAATTGGAAATGTAATATAAGAAAACTAGTTAGCATTACTGAAAAGAGCGGACAGCATAAAATGAAGTCATATTACCATATCTATCCATCGCAGACAGCTGATTTTCATTTATCGCGCTTATGAGTGCAGCTGCAAGCCCAGCATCATAACTCACCCTGTAGAAGCCTGTTTGGTCAACGTTGAACTTAATCCAATTGCGTCCATCTTTTATGTTGGTGATTTTACCCATCAAGGTAGTGTTACCATTTGGAGAGCCAATAACCTCCCCAATGTCCAGCTTATCAGATTTTGTTTTGAGTAGAATCTTTTTCTGATTATCATATGAATTACAACATAGTGTTATTGGAACAATCCATTGTCCATCACCAACAGACCCGTCTGCCAGGAAATGTGACTGCAATGAGGAAACAAGATTTCATATTAGAAATAATAAAATATTTGTGTCCAACATGGCAAGACTTTAAAAGGACTGTTGCATTTTGCATTCCGACAAACTATTATTTTGCAAATGAAAAGGAAAAGTATGGGCATGATTATATATAGAACATGTGGATACTAGTGTTCACCATACACCAAGTGGTTTCATGAATTGTTATGTCCACTGTTCCCTTCTTCCACGGAATCAGGATTAGTCACTATAAATACCTCATATTGCTGCTTTTAAGAACTATCGATTGAATGCTGTTAATAGATAAGTTAAACCGTTCTCTCTCATATACTTTGAACGAGAAACAAATTGATTGTTCAAGCATAAAATGTTGGCGCGTTTAATCATATTGCACCCAATCTGGATCAATAACTGGTGCAGAACGATTGTGGACCGTCGATTAAAAGTCAATAGGATTTTTTAGGATCTTTCTTTTTAAGAAAACATTTGATGTAATCCTGCATGAAGATGGGCCATGAAATGAAGTTATGAAAATTGTCAAGCATGTGAATTGCTTCCCTTCTTGAGCATGTGAAGTGCTTTGACAGGTGAATTGTCTCCTTGGGCATGAAGCTCTTAGGTGTGAAATGCATTCTTTAGTAGCATGTGAAGCCCTTAAGTGTGAAGTCTATTCTTTAGCGTTGTGCTAAGCTACCCCAACACCGTGACTGGCCTTCCATACCCGTGTCTTCGACACTCCTTTTTTTAATGGAAAAAAGGAACGTTGAAGACATTAACTGCGACGTGTATTCAATAAAAAGAAAAAGAAGTTTCTTTGACATCCTTGGACACTCTTTGAATATGCATACATTTACTGAGAAGTGTACTCAATCATATAATACATGTAGTTTAAAAGACTCATCATACACTTCTTGGATGTTTATTTACACTTTACATCCACGTCTGTAACTCACTGCAACTCATTGCACACAGGTTGGCTTCGTTTTAGGCCATACCTAGTTCAAAAGTATGAATTTAAAGGGTCATTTAGGCGTCTAGTTCAAAAACGAATGATTTTCCAATTTATAATATCCTTAATAAATGAAACATAAAAGGGTAATATGTACCTAAGGAGACTCCTTAGGGTACATCTAAGGATGCACCTCTCAATGGATGAATTAGGCTACTTTAATGGACGATCCGCTCCATTCATCATGATCTAAATGTCTTAAAACATCTACAACATAAAAATCATGACATGTGAATATTTCTAACACATATTTTTCATTGACTCTTTTGTTATGTTGTCATAAAACCGTTAATTTTACTATCACTTGATGCATTAGTAAAACCAACCCAATATGCCTAATTTTTGGTTTACATGACATCCAAATCATATAGATCAAAATAAACGGAGAGGATCAAATAAATTGATTGCATATAATCTAATCTTCAAGGTGCATCCTTAGGTTCAATCTAAAGTGGCTCCTTAGATACATATTTCTCATCATAAAAATATTATAGGAATTTTTTTAGTTTTATAACATGTGAATGAAAAAACAAAATTGATTACATGTAAATTATTAATTTCAATTTGTATATATAGAAGTGCTACCATATCCTACTTTTTATAAATTTGTCGCGTACCTTACTCATATCGGTACCCGCACCTATGGAAACCCTTCAGTGTGAAGTTTATTCATCTAAATCCTCTTTTATTTTTAGTTCTCCCACCTTAAGACCGAATACCCATGTGTGGATAAGGTGTGAATCCTTTTTGTTGGAAGCTTATTTATCTAAATCCTCTTTTATCTTTAGTTTTCCCATCTTTAGATCGAATCCCTTGCTCCCTCACCCCTCATTGTTGATGGGGGACATGACTAGGGCTACGATTTGGAAACTAGGGGGAAAAAAGAGAGGATTTAGATAAATAAGCTTCACACCTAATGGCTTCATATCCCACTGAAGAGTAGGCTTCAAACCCTAGGGCTTCACACCCCACTAGAGAATAGGCTTCACACGTAAGGGCTTCACACCCAACAAACAATTCACATGCTCAACAAGATATTCATATCTCAAGAACCTTTCATTTTATTCATCATAGTCCATTTCACATGGAGGATTACATCTTATTTATAGAAGAGAAGAGAGAGATGATAGACCAAATTTGGCAGTAAATCAAAATCCTAACTAAATCTAACCCTAACAAACTTAAAAAGGTGGAATGAAATATAAATCCTAACTAAATCAAAAAGTAATATCATAACTAAATCCAAAAGAAATCTGATGAGAACAAGAATTGGAAATCTTCCATATTAGCTTAGTTTTTAATTTTTGAAATTTGAATTTTAAATTTTGAATTGTTGTTTAATTTAGTAGTTAATAAGTGAGAGATTTGAGGGATTCTGTGTGAGATTTCAAATTTTGTAATTGCTCTATAAAAGCATGGTTGTAATCAGAATGAAAATGGATTTGAAGAATTGAAAGAAAAATATGGTATTAGTCTAACTGTTTGTGTGAAACATCCAGGGGTGTGAAACCCTAGGCCAATATTTTCTCTTTTCACTTCTCAGCCGCCAGAAGCTCATCCCCATCCTTCTCCTCTTCCACAAAAATCCGACCATCAGTGCCTTCATCTTCTCCCACAAACCCGCCCAAGCACCATCCCCTTGCAGCCACGCAGCACCAATCACCACCAGCGCCTCCAAGAGAATAAAAAATGGCCGATTAATTGAGTTAAGGATTGACTTGGGGGAGAAAGAAGAGAGAGATGAGAGAGAGAGAGAATACACACGATCTATGAAAAAGGGTGGGAGCGGTTAATATACTCAAGAGCATTGTGGTTTTTTTTTTTAATTACTGGTGATATGGCACCAAATTTAGAGGGCTAGGAGCATTAAAAAAGTGAATTTAGACAGCTAGTATCGAGCAATAGGCTACTGGGTTCCCTTATGATATTTTTCTTGTATAAAATGAATAGAACAAAAATAGAGAGAGCTACTATCTATCAATGAAAAGAAAGAACATTTCTGATGAGAACAAGAATTGGAAATCTTCCATATTAGCTTAGTTTTTAATTTTTGAAATTTGAATTTTAAATTTTGAATTGTTGTTTAATTTAGTAGTTAATAAGTGAGAGATTTGAGGGATTCTGTGTGAGATTTCAAATTTTGTAATTGCTCTATAAAAGCATGGTTGTAATCAGAATGAAAATGGATTTGAAGAATTGAAAGAAAAATATGGTATTAGCCTAACTGTTTGTGTGAAACATCCAGGGGTGTGAAACCCTAGGCCAATATTTTCTCTTTTCTCTTCTCAGCCGCCAGAAGCTCATCCCCATCCTTCTCCTCTTCCACAAAAATCCGACCATCAGTGCCTTCATCTTCTCCCACAAACCCGCCCAAGCACCATCCCCTTGCAGCCACGCAGCACCAATCACCACCAGCGCCTCCACCTTCCCTGTCCCACGCTCCTAATAGCAACCAACACCTCCAGCTCTCTTCTTTCCCCGACAACCAGCGCCAACCCCGCTCCTTTCACCGCCACCCTCAGACCATTGTCACCCCAACTCCCCCTTCCCTGCTATTCTCTTTGACGAGCAGCCCCGCCACAGGAATAGATCGGTCCTCGCTTCAACCGCGTCACCGTCTAGCCTCGCCGCCATCCTCAGCCACACTGAAGACTCCACCGAGATCCTCTCCAAAGAACCAACGTTTCAGGCAAATTTTCCTCCACCAGTCATCCAGGCATAAAGAGGCCTGGGTTCGTTCCAAATCTTGAAAAGCACTGGGGTCCAAAAATTAGAGCAGGAAGGCAAATCTCAGAAATCATATGCACGTGTCAACCATATGCATAAAGAATTTAATCTTATATGAAGCATCAAAAGACCAGTTATGACCTGTTCCTCCACCTGTACACTTGATGAATCCTACATTCTAAGACTATGAAGGTCTAGATATCCGTTAATGCTACATAGGTGATTCAATTCCAGTTCAGTCGGACGACGGTATCATTTTCTTTGTACTCAGTATTTTTTTCTGCTAATTTCACTTTATTAGTTAATTGCATGATTAGTTCATCTCTAAATTCTTATCATATATTTCACTGCTCAGATTATAATTGTGAGTTGAGAGTATCTGAACATGTGACTGCTAAAAATTAATATTGATTGTCGAACTTATGCAATGATAATGAGTATTGCGATTAGGTTGTTTAAGATTGGAATTGTTCATAATTATCGTTGCAAATCTTGTTAAAATCCATCTGTCACGTTAACTACTTTAATTAATTTCCTACCGAATATTATGAATTTTGACGAAACGTTGCGTTGTTCGAATTAAATCGTTGATTCTGATAGACCCCCTGTTTCGTTTCGCATCATTTTTGGTATCAGAGCATGGTTCTAGGGTAGGAATTTTTTTTATTTTTTTATTTTTTTATTTTTTAGATTAGTTGAGTCTTTTATTTGATATTAAAAAAAACGCATTCATCCCATTTAGTTGTTTGTGCACACCATTCATCTCATCTCATTGTTAGTGCATGACCACTCGTACAGATCTACCTTAGGTGAGTCAAGTCAATCAGTTAGTGAGTCCAGCATGTCTTTTGAATTCCTTAAGAAATTCGATGAGGTAAAAAGACAAATAGGTGTCGTAGCCCAGAGCTTAACAAATTTCCAGAATGAAACCAACGAAAGGTTTGCTAGGCTTGAAGGAGCGCGTGTTGCAACTCCGTCGCCACAAAGTCAAGGCTATGGATACCCACCGCAAGGTCATGGGTACGTCGTTCATCGACCCCCACCTCAACCAGTGTCTGATCCACCAACCTTTGACGGTAAACTCGGCCCACAAACTTTCTTGAATTGGCTGAAGAACATGGATCGATACTTTGACTAGTATGCCATGACGGAACCACAAAAAGTCAAGTTTGCGGCAATGAAACTCACCGGGCCAGCCTGCCAATATTGGTTCAAATTCGAAACATTAAGATATATTAGTGATGAGTTACCAATTTTAACTTGGCAAGAA